GCTGGGATCTTGCACAAAATGAGGGGGAATTTTATAGTATATAGAATTCATTTATGAAAAAGAACTGAAGGCATGGTTAAACAATAAAGAGGGAAGGATAGAGAAGCTGAAAGTTTAGATCTTATTTTCTCAGTGAAATAGAAAGCAAGGTTGTCAGAGCTGATGTTGGAGAATGTAGGAAAAGGCAGACATTTCCAAATAATTACCTGTGGACAGATATGCTGATAATATACATTAAATACGGCTTTTAAATGGACCCATTAAATATGGCTCATCTATAGAGTTATACCACTGCATATGATTGTATGATTTTTCCAAGTCTGTTCAACTTAATTAGTGTAGGGAATAGGATCTAACAAACTCTGAGATTTTTCTCATTGAACATGACAAGATCATAATGTATTTAGGAGATGGGTTTTATTGTCTGCTCGTGGTTTTCAGGATGATGGATTAGAAATATATAGGGAGGTTGTGGAAATTTTGAATATCAGTGGCAGTCAGGTCCCACTAGTGATGAAGGCTTTTGTCATCAAATGTACTACAAAATATGGATAATGAAGAAAGTGATAGTCAGGGGCTAGGATTCTTGCAACAGATTATGAAATGCTGCAGATATTGGAAATAGAAAGATATAGGAACTAAGTGTAACCAGACTTTTGGCTACTTTATTGAGTTCTTTTTCCTACCTTACTATGCCACCACTATCCCTTTCAAACCTCCCACCCAACACTAGGTAAGAGAGAAAGGTTAGAGGAGAAAGGAGAATCAATATCATTAGACTACTTCCAGCTGATTAGGGGCACCAAGTTCCTTGGGACAAATTTGATCTTTGTTGTCAGGACATTTCTTTATATATTTTTTTATTTTATACATATTTTATATATATATAATTTTATTTTTATTTTTATTAATCATAGTTTATTCACTTTCTATCCCAGCTGTAGCCCCTTCCCAGTCCCACCCTTCCTCATCTTCTCCATGCTCCTCTCCACATCCACTGATAGGGGAGGTACACCTCCCCTTCCCTCTGGCCCTAGCTTATCAGGTCTCATCAGAACTGGATGCATTGTCTTCCTCTGTGGGCTGGTAAGGCTGCCATGGGCTACGTCTGTACAGTGGTTCTATGTTATCTCCATGCGTGGTCCTTGGTTGGAGTATCAGTCTCAGAAAAGATAACTGAGCCCAGATTTCTTGGTTCTGTTGCTCTCCTTGTAGAGCTCCTGTTCCTTCCAGGTCTTTCCATCTCCCACTTCTTTCATAACATTCCCTGCACTTAGCCCAAAGTTTGGCTATGAATCTCAGCATCTGCTTTGATACCCTGCTGGGTAGAGTCTGTCAGAGGCTCTCTGTGGTAGGCTCCTGTCCTGTTTCCTGTTTTCTCCCTCTTCCGATGTCTGTCCCATTTACCTTTCTGAGTGAGGATTGATCATCTTACCCAGGGTCCTCCTTCTTGCTTAAGTATACAGATTTTAGTATGTTTATCCTATATTATATGTCAGGATATTTCTAACCAGCAACCAACAATCTAGCAAACAGTAACAGCATCAGGAACAAATATCAGCCAGCAACAGGGGCAGCAGCAGCAGCAGCAGGCAGAGCAGCAGCAGTCACCTCTCTTGAGGCTCTGGCATTTACATAGCCTCTGAAGTGTCCTCAGAATTTCAAATGTAAACTATCTTCAGCAGGCAAAAATCACACCTCTACTAGAGCATGAGGCAAATCATAGTCAGTTGCTGCAGACAATCTGAAGCAGCCCCATATCCCACACCTGGGATTAAAAAAAAATGTTTTCATAATATTACTGTGTTTTTAAAGAAATAAAAATTCTCACTACAGCTAGTCATGAGGATGTTTGCAAAAAGGGAGTTAAAGGAATTCCTTTAACTAGGCACTAAAATAAACTTGAGCATTGAGGTAGAAGTTAAACGATGGTTTTAAAACCTCTCATCCGTGTACAGTCTTTTACATGGTAACTCTGTACCTCTTTCTTGAGTGTGGCTTGGTTTTGTGAGTTTCTATGGTATTACAATGCAGAAGAAGTGATAATTACATGTGAAATGTGCCTTCAGAGACTCTCAAACCAGCCTAAGGCCACCATGTAACAAGTTCCTGTGTGGGTTGATTCAACACCCACAAAGAGTTAAGTTGAGGCACCCTACACATAGCAAAGCTCACAGAAGAACACCTCAAAAAGTGGGAAGGGGATCTGGAAACCAAAAATCTGTTTTGCCACTGAAAGGACGAAAGTTATAAGCATTTTAGGTGGCCTAGGATGCCCACCAAGTTGTATCGGTCAACTTAAACAAAGAAGAGGAGCTGACTGGCCTACAACCTCAGGTATACATGTTCATGTATGCCTTTATCTGACCAGTCAGAACCAGTCAGCCAGAAGGGAGTCCCTACTGACCTTTGCCTCATATCAGTAGGATAAAGAAGAAGCAAGAAATTTGCTATATTTATTATTTATCTATGAGCCCTTTTCAAGACTTGTCTAGCTTCAAGTCTATCAGAGTGACTCAAGGTATTACATAGTCTGAGATCTACAATTACCTACCTAACAAAGTAGGCATTTATTGCTCCTTTAGTTCCCATAATAGGATGTATAAAAGCCTGAGCTATTCAATCAGTAGGATCTGAGTAGCGAGCTGTTAAGAAATGTACATTGGCCTCTTCCTGAAATGGAGAGCCCTGATTGGTTTCTATGATGGCTGGTTCCAAGTTGCCCACAGGCTGTGTAGGGATGGGACATTCATACACAACTGACTGTTATGAGTCACAATACACATCTGGCATCGCTCTGGGCCTGGGTACCTCTTATCATCTCTTCCCAGACACTTCGCAAATGAGTAGGCTGGGATACTACTACTAGAAGAGTCCAGGCTCTAGGACTATACATGAGCACTGTGCAAGGGCCCTGGGGCAGACTTCTACAAGAAGCTATTCACAGGCCTGGGAGAGTCAATGGCAACATGGGCCTTCAGTTTCTCCTCCAGCCACAGCCTGGGTCATGTCTCCTTAGCACCAGTGTGCCCTGGAACTGCTCAAACCTGACAACTTAGGAAGAGCAGATAGAGCTGAGATGTAGAGAGATTTTTATTCAGAACATTGGTGTTCTGGCAAGTGACCACATCCAAAGACCTTCTAGGTCTGTGTGATCTGGAATACAAACATGCCTTTATTCCAGAGACAGAGGCAAGTACATCTGAGTTCAAGGCTAGCCTGGGATAGAGAAAGTTTCAGGTAAAGAAAACCTTAGGTCCAGGCATGGTGGTACATGCCTTTTATCCCAAACAATGAAGGTAAAGTTAATTTGTAAAAGAAGCATCCATGTTTAAAAGTGATGTCTAATTGAGTGGCAGAAAAGGTGACAAATCACAGAAGATATGACAGAATAGTATATGCCCAACTCTCGTGAGAAGAGAGAGGAAAGGGAAGCCACTTAAGGGGCAATGCAGAGTGAGTAAAACTCTGCAGAAGAGTTTTACAGAGAGAGATTGAATGAGAGAACAAGCTAGACACAGGTGAAGACAAAACAAGCCAGAGAATGAGAAGAAGCTAGATTAGAAAAGGTTGCTGGAGTTAGTTTGAGGCCAAGCAGAGCAATTCAGGGATGGAGAGAAAAGACAGATTGAATCAGTCAGCTGGGAGAGGAGTTTGAGCCAGAACAGCTGAGTTGAATCAGCAAGCTCAGTGCTCAGAAATAACAAGAAAGGGTGAGCTTATTAAGCAGTAAGTCTCAGAGGCTAAAAATATTCTAGGCCTAGATTAGGTTGTATGGAAGCTAAAAGCTTCTAGGACTAAGACTAGGACTAGGTTAGACAACTGAAACAGGTGAATAAAAGTTCCTTTTACACTGAGGTACCTTCAGTACAGGCGGCTGTCGAACATGGCACCTGAAAGTGCTGAACTCAACCCGCCTTCACCTTGGCTAGAGTACCAAATGACCGGGCTCCTAAGGACCACTTTGACCCAGACAACATTGCTCCCCAACTTTTATTGACTCTGCCATAGAGCTATCAGCCTATCTAGAAGTCTCAGCTGCCAAGCTAAAGATCTGCCCTCTTCAGCACCAGCAGGAACACCTGAAATGGATTAGCCTAAGCCAAACAACAACCAACCAACCTGGTATAAGGTGATGGATTATCCTACAAGGAATTCACTGTCTCAACTGTGTTAGAAAGGGGATGATTTCTTCATTAAACAACATTCATAGCCCTGTCTATTAAATGACACATGTAATCCCACTTTTTTAGGCAATAATGATGAAAAAAGGGAAGGAAGGGAGGGAGGGAGGGAGGGAGGGAGGGAGGGGAAAAAAAAGCAAGGGAAGGAAACCTTTTGAAGAGGCCATTTGCCTCTCACTGAGAACTTCTATGAATTGAAATCTCTGAAGTTGTTAGGTTTATTACTCCTTGCCAAAACAGTCCCTCTTTCTAGAACCTAATGCTTCTAACTCCAGGAGTGGAGCCTGCACTTTGGAAGTAGGAAAGTCCAATAGTTGCAGGGTTGGGTTTGAGCACCCTGGGTTTCAATGCCACCTCTCATTCTCACCATTCAATGTTCTGGGGCACAGTTCCAAACCTTCTGCACTTCTTTATTCACTTCTGTGAATAAAGTATAGATTAGAGAGGTTTTGAATACTAAGTGCACTGCCTAAGCCCTTGGGCAGGGGGTCACTTAGGAATTCTTAGTTTGCAGAGTGGGGTAAAATCCCCTTTCTGTGTTCTTACATACTCACAGGTGCAAACATTGGGTAAATTATTTACATGGTTATTTTTTTTCTGTGACTGTTTTAGATTACTGGGTTAATGTGGGCAGAAGGGATATGGCTACCCCTTTTCACCATTTAGACTTCAGGGTTTGGTAAACTCTAGGCACTAGTAAATAGTTCAGTTCATTGAAGAAATGTAACCAATTCCTGTCTTTTTTTTCCAGAGCCATATGTGTTTAAAAGCAAAGTAAATATATAAGCCATTGTCTGACCTGTAGAAGAGTTTACAATGGAGATTTCAGCTGTTACAGAGCCCTACTACAACATAGTCACTGAGAATGACTACATTCCCGGAATCTTATGTGTGAGCATGGATGTGCGAGCATTTGGAATATCAGTGCTGACTCCCCTCTATTCTCTGGTGTTCATCATTGGTGTGATAGGCAATGTCCTGGTGGTTCTGGTGCTCACACAGCACAAGAGGCTTCGAAGCATGACCAGCATTTACCTGTTTAACCTGGCGGTCTCTGACCTGGTCTTCCTCTTCACATTACCTTTCTGGATTGACTATATCATAAAAGGAGACTGGATTTTTGGTGATGCCATGTGTAAGTTCCTTTCTGGATTTTATTACCTGGGCTTGTATAGTGACATGTTTTTTATCACCCTACTTACAGTTGATAGGTACTTAGCTGTTGTCCATGCTGTGTTCGCCCTGCGGGCCCGGACTGTCACTTTTGGCATCATCACCAGCATCATCACCTGGGTCCTGGCCATCTTGGCTTCGATTCCTTGTCTGTATTTTTTCAAGGCCCAGTTGGAATTCACTTACCATACCTGCAGAGCAGTTTTACCCAAGGAGAGCCTGAAACATTTTTTGAGGTTTCAGGCTCTAACAATGAACATCCTTGGGCTAATTTTGCCTCTGTTGGCCATGATCATCTGCTACACAAGGATCATCAATGTTCTACACAGAAGACCCAATAAGAAGAAGGCCAAAGCTATGCGTCTGATTTTTGTTATTACACTTCTGTTTTTCCTTCTATGGACCCCCTACTATCTGGCTGCATTTGTTTCTGCTTTTGAAGACTTCCTATTCACCAGCGGGTGTGAGAGAAGCCAACAGCTGGACCTAGCCTTGATGGTAACAGAGGCAATTGCCTACACCCACTGCTGTGTCAACCCAGTCATTTATGTCTTTGTGGGTGAACGGTTCCGGAAGTACCTCAGGCAGCTGTTTCAGAGGCATACAGCTGTACCCCTGGCAAAATGGCTGCCCTTCCTCTCTGTAGACCGAACACAGAGGGCCAATGTCATGTCTCCATCCACAGGGGAGAATGATCTCTCAGCTGGCCTCTAATTTGGAGCCCTAGATTCCAACAAAGGCCCAGGAAAGAGTGAAAAGACAGCATGCCTCTTTAAGACAGATACTGAGGATTCATAGATCAGAGGGACCCTGCAGGTAGCTTAGATACAGCTCTTCAATGTTTGCGATGATCTTCTTCCTGTCAGAAAGGGAAAGTATGAACAAATTGGGACATTCCAGAGACTGGGACAATAGTTCTGGGGAAGGGCTTATGACAACAAGAAGTAGGGTTTGTGGTCATTAGCCCTGGCAAACAAAAGTGAACACCACTCCCAATGATGATGGAACGAGTTGGGTCCACAACTTTGACTGCTCTGAACCTGGAAGTCAATGGCAGATCAGAGATGCTTCCTTCACCACACCCCCAATGTAGGGCCTCGGCTCTTGGAAACCCTGAAACTGAAGGTCAAAGTATTTGAGACACTGCTTTGTCATTTGAGTAGGGAAGTCTTTAGAGAGAATTTTATATTCGTTAAAACCAAAGATTTCTGGCAAATAGATAGGGAAGGATATTCACCTGTTTATATTCTTCTACCTAAGGGAACATGCCTCTAGTATAATATATATAATATAATCATATAATATAATAATATATACTACATATATTTATTATATTACATTAACCTCCTCCATGCCACCTTTTAAATCCTGCAGGTTCTATGTATCTAATCTGGAGAAATACTTCCTAGTGATTTGTCTTTGCTTAACAGCAGGGCCAATATGTGTGGTGTGAAAAACACTCTGGAAAAAGTTTACCATGCTTGACCATGGAACTTGGTTCATATGGTATTCCTATTTTCAGTGGTTTCCACCCGCTTACCTTAGGAGACCTTACTTGGTTTGATAACTCCATTTACTAATTTTTATTTCATGCTGGAAAAGAGATAGACTTTTATTTTTTAATGCTTTATTCATTATAAATGACTTCTATCACTGTGATATCTACTTATTTCATTTGTCTTACACTATGTTGAATAAAAATACATAATTTTGATGTAATAAATTTCATCTTTTTTATTTTGCTTCTGCGAGTTAAATATTGTTTAAAGGCTTCAGCGGCTTATCTTTACAAATGTGTTCTATATTTTCTTCCATTGCTGTAATATTTTATTTCTTTTTATATCTTTAATCTGACATGTAACTATGACATGTTACTCAGCTTCTCAGAGATTAATTATTCCAATATTTGCGGTGTAGAGGATAGTGGCATTTGCCTTATGGGATTGTCATGAAGAATAACTGACAGTGCACACAAAGTGCCAATATGTCTGTCCCGGTGTCATGTTAAGTGACTATAGTTAAAATAAGTGTATTTTGTTATAATGTTTCTGTAAGTCATAAAACATGTGAAGGTGCAGCAAAAAACTCAGAAAGATTATTCTAATAATTAAACTTCAGAAATACCAACCAGAAAGAAGAATTTGTATTTTTTCACAATTGGATGTCAGTGTCAGCAAGGGCATTAAGAAACCCTAATGTAGGCTGATTTTGTTTCTTTCTCTGTCGTGTTTCAATGTTGTGCAACTTTGTAACTGCGTGCTCTGAAATTACCCAATATTTATTTCTAGTATTTTCACTTCCCGTTCTCACTTTCTAGAGCTGACTGTCTAAAAAGAGCTGGTAGACTGTTCTGTGCCACGTCTCGATGCTATCTTCCTTAAAAGCATTGCTCAGGATGTACCCTGTGCCTTGATATATCTCCATAATCAGGACCCATCAAGCAACACACTAGCTAGAATGACACACCGTCTACCTTGTCCACATGGGCTAGCTCGGTCCTACATTTCTTTGGGCAAATAAATATACTTTACCATGTGTATTAGTGACTTTATCATTACTATGACAGAATAGCCCCCCCAAAAAGAAACCTAAGAAAGAAAAGTTCATTTGGTTTGGAGTTTGAAGTCCGAGTTCTTCATGATAAGCATGTGAGGTGACTGGTCATAATGCATCCAAATAAGCAAATAAAAGAATGATAACTTTCCAGCTGCCTTCTCCTTTGTATTTAGCCTTGATCCTCAGCCTATGAAATAGGTCTGACTCTAAATTTCACCAGGTGGAAAGACTAGACAGCACAAGCTTTATCAAAATGATAACCTTGGGCCCTAAAGTCTCATATTCAACTAATCATACACAGTGCACTTTGCAGAAGTCTCCAGCATCTTAACGAATAGGAAACTGTAAGTGTAAAGTCTTCTATGTGTCAGTCTATCTCTTACCTGTGAGACCCTGTAAAATAAAAAGGGAGTTGCATCTTTAAAAAAATACTTTACATTGCATACAGAAATACAATTTACATATTTAATTACATTATAATATACTGACTTAATTTAGTTTTTGTGTGTGTGTCTTTTTTTTTTTTTTCCAGAGCTGAGGACCAAACCCAGGGCCTTGCGCTTGCTAGGCAAGTGCTCTACCACTGAGCTGAATCCTCAACCCCTTTGATATAGTTTTAAGTAGAGGAAAAGGTAGAAATTTTAGATTATAAAATTACTCCCCCCAGAACATATATTTTTTACATTAGTCAATGCATATTCCAAATACAATGGCACAAAGTAACCATTCCAGTTCCAAAAGTTAAGAAGGGAGAATTAGAAAAGAACACTAGACCAAAGCAGGGAAACCCAGCAGAGAAAACACCAAACCCTGCAGCTCTATATCCAGCACCTGAGACTCGTGATAGAGTTGCCTGACTCCAACAGTCTTGGGAAGCCCAGGTCCTGTAACTCCCGGGCTGCCTCCACTCTATGCTGCAGCTTTCCTCAGTGCACATGACCCTCTCCTGACATTTTCTCCTTCGTGAGGCCTCCACTGAAACTCAGATTTCACCTTCACAGTTTCATATAAAAATGACTTTTAAAGATCTCTTTTCAGGAAATCTGATTCTTTTACACATTACCTGGCCTCATAAGCCTATGTTATCTGGCTGGGTCTCTGTATTTGTATCTATCTGCTGGGAAAGGAAGCTTCTCCGATGATGGCTGAGCAAGGCACTGATCTATGAGTATGGCAAAATGTCATTAGAAGTTATTTTATTGCTATGTTCCTTTAGCACAGTAGTTTTCAACTTTCCTAATACTGTAACCCTTTAATACAGTTTCCCATGTTGCTGTGACTCCCAATCATAAAATTATTTCATTGCTACTTTATAACTGTAATTTTACTACTGTTACAAATTGAAATGTAAATATTGAATATGCAGGGTATCTGATATGCATCCTCTGTGAAAGTGCCATTCAACCCCAAAGTGGTCACAACCCAGAGGTTAAGAACCACTGGCAAAACAGTAGTATTTGGTATTCCCCTAGAACCTAAACCTGTCTAGTCTCAGGTTCTTGGTCACCAGAGAAGTGGGCAAGATGGAGTCCATCTAATGGAGTAGGCCTTAAATTAAATCAGATCTTGGTTTGTTACTCCCGTGAGCTTTGTGCCATTATCGCACCATTGTATCTTGCAAGAAAGTCACCACTGCAGATCAAAGGGTTTGTAACAGTGGCTTTTTGGTTGATGTTTTTGTTTTTGTTCTTGTTCTTGCCTTTCTCCTTTGGTAGCATACAGAGTGCCTTCCAGTACCATGAACATAGTCCATATGGGTGAAGGCTCTAGGTAGACATCAGCCATGTTCAGTTGTGGGTATTGTCTTCAGCAATAAGGCCTTAATGCCAGTTTGTGCAGAGCAACCAATAGCCTTGGCAATAGACTGGGTTATTTGGAAGTTCCCATATGACCCCTTTGGTCAACAACTCAATTATATTTAAACCTTTCCAGGTACTGGAATCTTCATTTAGTGACAAGAAATGTACAGCTGGGATTCTGTCTTCCCATTATTTGATGCATTCATTTAGATCACCTTTATATGTGTATATTTTTAGGAAGCTTCTACTGTATTAGGTTTCTGTATGACCCCTCACATAGCCCTTAGTTTTTGCTGTCCCTCCTCATCTTCTCCCATCAATTTCCTTTTTCCTCTCCTTCCACATTTGATCTTCCCATACCATCCCAATCCTCATCCATCCATAAATATCTATTCTATTTTCCCTTCCTACTGAAATACATCTCTCCCCACAGTTCCTTACTCTATATGTATGTAACCTCTGTGCTTATATGGATTGTAGCTTGCTTATCAATGGTTTAACAGCTAAATCCATATAAGTGAATATATACCGTATCTATCTTTGTGAGTCTGGGTTACATCACTCAGGATAATTTTTTTCTAGCTTCATTCATTTGCCTACAAATTTAAATTTGTTTAATCACTGAGTAATATTCCATTGTGTTTCTTTACCACATTTTCTTTGTCCATTCATCTGTTGATGGACATCTACATTGTTTCTAATTTCTAGGTATTATGAATAGAGCAGCAGTGAACATGGTTGAGCAAGTGTCTCTGTAGTAAAATGTAGAGTCCTTTAGGTATATGCCCCAAGAGCGGCACAGCTGGCTCTTTAGGTCGATTGATTCCCAGCTTCCTGAGAAACCACCACTCTGATTCTATTGTGGCTGTATAATTTGCACTTCCACCAGCAATGGATGAGTGTTCCTCTTATTCATATTCTCACCAACATGAGCTGTTATTTGTTATCAGTCAGCCATTCTAACTGGAATTAAATGGAATTTCAAAGTCGTTTTTAGTTGCATTTCCCTGTTGGTTAAGGATGGCTAAAGGAATATTCCTTTAAGTGCTTCTCAGCCATTTGAGTTTCCCCTTTTGAGAATTCTGTTTACATCTGTATCCCATTTTTAAACTGGGTTATTTGTTTTCTTGATGCCTTGTTTTTAAATTCTTCATTATATTTTGAATAGTAGCCTTCTATAGGATGTGTTGTTAGCAAAATTCTTTTCCCATCTTGTAGCCTGCTGCTTTGAACAAATGATGGTGTCCTTTGCTGTATAAAAGGTTTTCAGTTTCATGAGGTCCCATTTGCTAATCATTGTTCTTAGTCCCTGTGCTATCTATGTTCTGTTTAGAAAGTTTTTTTCCTGTGCCAATGAGTTTGACCTATTTCCCACTTTTCTATCAGATTCAGTATATCTGATCTAATGTTGAGATTTTTGATATGTTTGAAGTTGAGTTTTATACAAGGTGATAAGTATGACTCTATTTGTATTCTTCCACATGCAGCCATCCAGTTTGACCAGTATCATTTGTTGATGCTGTCTTTCTTTTCCGGTGTTTATTTCTTGTTTCTTTATCATTGTGCCAGATCCTCTGATGTTCTTCATGTGCTCTCGCACCTCATGCTCTCGCCATCGGTCTAAATGGACAGTGTTCTCATTTAACAGGGTGGGACTTAAGACTCAGAGAGGTGTAAGGACCTGCTGGGCCTTGCACTTGGCGGGTGCATAAATTGAGAGTATCAAGAATGGAAGGGGAGTCTACAGCCAAATCACCCTGAACATAACCAGTGGGCTTTTTTTTTTTTTTGAGTGATTTCTTTCTTTGTTTTTTGAGACAAAGTCTCTATGTGGTCCTGGCTGTCCTGGAACTCACTTTGTAGACAAGGCTATCCTGGAACTCACAGAGATCCTCCTGCCTCTGCTTCTTTAGTGCTGAGATTACAGACATGAACCATCACACCTGTCAGAAAGAAAGGAGGGAATGGTGTATATTTGCACTCTCGTGTTATATATCCTTGAGAGAAAACCCATTCTTTGAGGTTTGATGGGGAAGGGATCTGGGAGCAGAGGAGAGGTATAGGGAGCAGTTAGAGTACAAATAGAAATGACATAGGTTTAGAACCCCAAAAAGAAGTGGATGCCTAGCTATGTCCTCATTCACCAGCCAGATGATTTTGAGGAACAGGATATAGAGTTCTGGTTGAGATCTTCCCATTTGCAACCTTTAAAAGGGGACGAAGGGAGGCTCCTCACTGACCACAAGAATTCTGTGACTAGCCCCACATTTACACGCCCACACTTAACACATTCAATTGTTCCATGAGTCCTGGGAACAGCTCACTGTCACTCACACAGTCCAACTCAGCTGCACCGTACCCCACCCTACACAGTCCTCGTGAGGCAGAGCACCCTCTGAGAAGACTGGACCTTACTGGAACTGTAGCAGAGAGGACTGAGAAAACACCTTTAATGAACTTGCACCCCAGGAATTGGCCACTGGTAAGCATTGTAGTGCTTCATAGGCAGCCAACCATATAGAAAGAAGAACTTCACACCCTTCTTGTAATTCTGAAAGACTGTAAAACCAAAGTTGAATCTCCATCATCTTACAGGAAGCCAAGAACTTCCTACTTGTTTGGGACATTGAACCTTGAATTCATAAAGACTCTCAAAGGGCCAGAAACAAAGTCTGTGCGGACAAAGTCCTCTGGAAACAGAGTAAGTGATGATTGTCTTGTCTATGCTGTCAGCCACTGTGAAGGGCAATTTTAAGGTCATGAGTGCATCTCAGGGATCCTCAACAGTAGACAAAGCTTTGAGAACCAGACAGATCTTATGTAGCCTATTGCTGCCTCTGTAGAGCAGTTAATACTTGAAAAAATGCTGAGGATGCTGGACATCTTCCTAAGGAAGATGTCAGGAATAAAAATTTTTTCTAGAAAGTGATCTTAAGAAATTTGTTGTTGATGATTAATTATGAAAGTAAACTAGTATAAAGAGACAAGAAATGCCTTTCATAGAAAGCTATTTTTTAAGATATTCTTGCCAAATTTCCCAAAGGCCAACAAAATATGGCATATTAAGAAATAGTAGCAAGAATATATGCTAGCCAGAAAAATTATTGCAAATTACAAAAATGACAAAATTTTGAACCAATTTCTTAAGATTAGAACTAAAATCATAAATCCAGGACAACTACTGTCTTGGAAGAGGTAGAAAGTCACTCTCTAGAGGTAGCAGATGGACAGATAGAATCTTGGGCTACAGCTGTTGTATTAACATGATATAGATTAGTTTTATGCTGAAGAGATAGGCATGACTGATACTAGTAAATGTCTATTTTGCCTTTTCTTCCATGGGTGGAGAGAGATGGGACAGCTACAGAATTTCAAAAAACAAGAAACTCTGAGATTCTCATAGCCAGTTTTTCTCTGCACAACAATCAACAAAAACTCTGAAGTTCCTAAACCAGTGAGACTATGAACTGCTAAAGAATATGTAGCAATGGCTTCATCTTAGGATGTATGACAGCTCTGGGTTATTCATTCAAGAAGGCCTGGGTAGTGAGCTGTTAAAAAATGCACAAAACTGGCCTCTTCCTGAAATGGAGAGCCCTGAGTGGTAATGCTTGTCTGTTTCTATGGTGGCCAGTTCCAAGTTGCCCACAGGCTGTGTGGGGATGGGACATTCATACACAACTGACTGTTATGAGTCACAATACGCATCTGGCATTGCTTTGGGTCTGGGTACCTCTTATCATCTCTTCCCAGACACTTCGCAAATGAGTAGGCTGGGATACTACTACTGGAAGAGTCCAGGCTCTAGGACTATACATGAGCACTGTGCAAGGGCCCTGGGGCAGACTTCTACAAGAAGCTATTCACAGGCCTGGGAGAGTCAATGGCAACATGGGCCTTCAGTTTCTCCTCCAGCCACAGCCTGGGTCATGTCTCCTTAGCATCAGTGTGCCCTGGAACTGCTCAAACCTGACAATTTAGGAGCACAGATAGAACTGAGGTACCTCAGTAGGCAGGTGGCTGTTGAACATGGCATTTGACAGTGATGAACTCAACCCACTTTCACCTTGGCTAGAATGCCAGATGACTAGGCTCCTAATGACCACTTTGTCCCAGATGACATTGCTCCCCAACTTTTATTGACTCTGCCATAGAGCTGTCAGCCTATTAGAAGTCCCAGTTGCCAAGCTGAAGATCTGCCCTCTTCAGCACCAGCAGGAACAGTAGAAAGCACAAATCCCTGCTCAGTCATTCCTGATTGCCAGCTGAGTTTCCCCAGTAAGAACTAATATGCAAGACATGAAGGAGTGACTACAGGGACAGAGCTGATAGAAAATGAAGAAGCCCCTCTTGCCACTTCAGCAGAATAGTTTCCCCTTTCTTTCATGTGCTTTAATGTCCAAAGACCACTGCTCAGGTAAATTTTGTGATCAGGAAACACTCACTAAGAACCCAAAAAGAGAGAGCAGTAGAAGCCCAGGGTTTTCTCAGGGATGACGAAGCAGGTGCAGCATGCTTTAACTCTAAGTATTTGGGTCAAATGCTAAAACTCTGCTCAATAACAACATACTGAAATTTAACTTTATTTCACAAATTTTCAGGTTTTGTTTCACACGTGCCACCTCTGCATATTTAGACAGTATGGAGGACATTTCAATACATGTGTACACGGTGTAATGGTCAGCCAGAGTAGGGGGAAGCGAACCCTGAGTACCTCAAATTCTGTTTTAGCCATTTTGAAATATTCAGGCATGTCTTATCAACTATAGTCATTTTGCTGTGCTATAGAGCATGAGAATAGTCCTGGTGTCCAGATTCAATCCTGTCTTGTTAACTGTCTGCTCTCCATCCTTCTTCCAAACTCTCCTCAGACTCTGTAACCACTACTTGGCTTTCTAGTTCTATAAGACCAGCTTTCCAGAGATTTCATACTATGATTCACATGGAAGAACTGCCATGGGCAATCAAGAAAAATCATTTTCAATGCTACCTATGAAGAAATCTAATAAGGAAAAGAGGCGTATAGACATTGTGGTCAGAACATCTGGTAATGGCAGGCTTTAGAGCAGGATCACTACATGACAACCGAGTCCTTGATAGTCACTGTCTGGGCCAGAGGGATATTTTTCACATTGCTTCATAGCATCTTCGCAAGTTAAACATTCATTCATCTCCCCTATTCCAGATGAGTAACTTAGGCTCAAAGAAGCAGATTAATTCACCCAAAGTCACACAGCTAGTATGTTACAACAAAGCCCATACTCTCCTTTTTGGAGTATCTCAAAGCTAACTGGAAAGCATTCAAAGGGTGTACAATCATAAATGGTGTGGAAAAAGTTCTTCAGTGCCAACCATCTATTGGGTTCTTTGTTTATCTCAAGGTAATCCTGATTTTAAAAGGGAGAAGGTGAGTAACTCAGAGCTCATTTAAGCAAAATATCAGCTTCCATCTAGCTCCTCTATGGTATGTTTTGGATCCAGGCATCTCTTCCTCCCTGAGCCATTTTCCATTTCTGTCTGTAGGTCATGACCTCCTCCTAGCCTTCTCATGGTGCTCAAAGAGGGCTACTGAGTTAACTATAAAGCCTCTTATACCATATAAAGGCCATGTAATATGGATCAGCCTAAGCCAAACAAACAACCTGGTACCTTGAGTCTCAAACTATACTGATGGTTTGTTCTATTAGGAATTTGCTATGTCAGCAGTGCTGATCTTGGAATACAATAATCTTTGCATTAAATAACATCTATTATCCAATTGCCAACTTAAAACAGCATCTTTTAGCCTCTTGGAAAACAATAAAAAATAATAAGTTGTCATATCTATAAAGTTTTTGTTCTTATCCAGGACGGTCCTTCTTCCCAGAGCTTTTGTGGAGACTCCTTTGGCACAGCCAGCACTGTGATTAGAGGCAGGAGAATCCAATAATTTCAGGGCTAGATTGAACAACACATTAATGGGTTGCTATTTTAGCTTCATTCTTGTGCCACATTTAAGTAACCTAGAGCAATCTGTATCTCTGTGTCATCACTTCTAAAGTCTTGCACCACACTGCAGTATCCTGTGGCAATGTGCACTTCTGTTTCATCACTTCTAAATGGGAACAATTGCCCCCTTAATGAGGCTGAACACTAAGTCCAAACTCAGCTGTTTTGGGTCACCTTGAAATCTTTAGTTAGAACAGTGAGATAATATCTCCTTTTTTTTTTTTTGACCCACTGAACTTTTTACAAATCACTCTTGAAATAATTGAATAATTATATACACACTCATTTGTTTGTTTTGTGCCCCTCTTAGACTACAAGGTCCACTTGAGTAGAAAATTCAAGGGTCCCTTGTCCTCCAATTCATTCCTAGGATTTGGTAATCACTAAGCATCAATCATCAGTTATTGGTTGAAGAAATGTAACCATTGTCTTGTCTTTGTTGTCCAGAACCCTCTATTTTAATAGAAACGTAAATACAGAAGCCATTGTTTCTGACCAGTTCCTCATCAAAAAGATGGAGATTTCAGCTACCACAGAAACCTACCTTGCAACCACAGAATACGACTATGGGGACTCCACCCCATGCAAAAAGGCTGCTGTAAGAGCCTTTGGGGCTGGACTATTGCCCCCACTGTACTCCCTGGTGTTCATCATTGGCGTGATAGGCAATGTCCTGGTGGTTCTGGTGCTCACGCAGCATAGGAGGCTTCAGAGCATGACCAGCATCTACCTGTTGAACCTGGCGGTCTCTGATCTGGTCTTCCTTTCCACTTTGCCTTTCTGGATTGACTACAAACTGAAAGACAACTGGATTTTTGGTGATGCCATGTGTAAGCTCCTCTCTGGGTTTTATTACCTGGGCTTGTACAGTGAGATCTTCTTTATCATCCTGCTGACGATTGACAGGTACTTAGCCATTGTCCATGCAGTGTTTGCCCTGAGGGCCCGGACTGTCACTTTTGGCATCATCACTAGTATTATCACCTGGGTCCTAGCCATCTTAGCTTCTATTCCTGGCCTATACTTTTTCAAAGCCCAGTGGGAGTTCACTCACTATACCTGCAGCCCTCATTTCCCTTATGAGAGCCTGAAGCAGTGGAAGCAGTTTCAAGCTCTGAAGCTCAACTTCCTTGGGCTAATTTTGCCTCTGTTAGTCATGATCATCTGCTATGCGGGGATCATCAGCATTTTGCTCAAACGACCTAGTGAGAAGAAGGCCAAAGCCGTGCGTCTGATATTTGCTATTACACTTCTATTCTTCCTCCTCTGGACACCTTACAATCTGACTGTATTTGTTTCTGCTTTTCAAGATGTTCTTTTCACCAATCAGTGTGAGCAGAGCAAGCAGCTGGACCTGGCTATGCAGGTGACTGAAGTAATTGCCTACACCCACTGCTGTGTCAACCCAATTATTTATGTCTTTGTGGGTGAGCGGTTCCGGAAGTACCTCAAGCAGCTGTTTCAAAGGCATGTGGCTGTACCCCTGGCAAAGCGGCTGCCCTTCCTCTCTGTGGACCAACTAGAAAGGGCCAGTTCCATGACTCCATCCACAGGAGAACATGAGCTCTCTGCTGGCTTCTGATTCAGAGCCCTTCCTTAATGTCAACCAAGGTCTAAGAGAGAGAGAGCGAGGAGATAACGTATAGCTCTCCAAGACAGATACTGACAGCTGTCACAGTGAGGATTCACAATCTTGTAGAATCAGAGAGAAGCAGCTTAGGTATAAGTTGCCTCTTTGTTTTCCTTGAACATCTCTGTTGGAAAGGAGATGAATGAACAAAGTGAGACATTCCGGAGACTGAGATAATGGGTGCCAATGAATGGCTTGGTCCCAACAAGAGTTAGGATCTGTGGCCATTAACGTTAACAAAGCCACAACTTTTACTGAACCCCATTCTTTTTCTTTTCCTTTTTTTTTCTTTCTTTCTTTTTTTTTTTTTTTTTATTTTTTGTAACAAGGTTTCTCTGTATAGCCTTGGCTGTCCTGGACTCCCTTTGTAGAGCAGGCTACTGAACCCCACTCTAATGATGCAATGTTCTGAGAAAATTTTAAGGTATTGTAATAAAAAGAATTTGCATACTTGCATATTGACATGTATTGTAAAGCATAAGATGTTACAGCAAAAAATTCAAACTGTAACAAACTAAAGTTTATTTATTCAGTTATTTTAATGAATTAGCAAAGATACAAATAGATCACAGAATAAATGCAACAGCATTGATATGAAAATACTGATCACAAGGTAATAACCAGAAATCTATGAGTTCTTTTGGCTGCTAAAAGTGAAGAAATATTGTTTCATTTTATTAATGAAAATACATAGTATAGGTCCCAATGTGGAAAAAAAAACAATTAATGCAATATTTCTGGAAAGCAATTCAAAAAGTTTAAAATTATTACTTTAGGGTAATATTAACAAATACTAGTAAAATGACATATAGTTCAGGCTAGACAAAGATTATACGGTGTGCATGCAGGTTCAGGTTGGAGAAGGTGTGTGTACATGCACATGCATAGAAGTCAAAGGACAACCTCAGGTGTCATTTCTCAGGAGCCATGGACTTTATTTAGAGATCAGATCTCTGCTTGGTGTGGAGTTTGCAAATTAGGCCAATGAGTCCCTGGAATTACAAGTGTATGCCCCTACACCTAGATTTTTTAGGATGGCTGATGAAAACCAGACGAAGGTCCTCATGCTTTCAAAGCAAGTACTTCACAAGCTGAACCATATCTTATGTCTTTAAATATTTATTTAAAAAATTGTTAAACAAGCAAACAACAAAAACATGGTTCATAAATGGAAAAGAAAACTTTAATAAAAAGATTTTATCAAAATTAAATTTTTTCCATTTCAAAGATACCATTAAGAACATTAAAAGACAAGGAACAAAATATTTTCAAAACATAATCTGATATAAAACATATTCAGCATTCATAAAGAGTTCATACAGCTCAGTAGTAAGAAAATAACCTACCCAAAACTATACAAAAATATGAACACACATTTCACTGCAGAAAGTAGACAATTGCCTGAAGAAATATTAAAATGTGTTCTTTGTTATTTCTTATTAGAGATAAAGTCACAAAACACAGTCACATTGTTTTTTATACTCAATAGAATAACCATGAGAAATAAATGTTAACAAGGGTGTGGAGAAGCAGAACCTCGCTGCTAATGTTATAAAATGAGGCAGCTACTTTGGAAAGCAATTTATTTTTCCTAAAGATGTTAAATGTTAACAATTGCACTTCTCAATAAAAATCCAAGAGAAACAAAGTACTCTCCCTCCCCTCCCCAAAAAAAATTGTGTGTGATCACTGCTATAAATGAAAATGATCTCTGTGCATTCAAGGCCAGCCTGGTCTACAGAGTGAGTTCTAGAACAGCCAGGTCTGTTACACAGAGAAAGCCTGTCTCAAAAAACAAAAACAAACAAAGCAGCAAAATACTGGCATCTTTTATGTGGTAGGACAGCCTTAGAAACAGCCTCAGATTTAGCCTCGTGAAATCATCTCTTACACAATTTCATTCATGTACAAAGTCCAGAAGGCAAACATAGAGACAGAAGGGAGTTCAGCTTGAAACAGCCTGAGCTGGAAACACAGAATAACTGTGAAGAGTATGGATGACCTTGTTAGAGGGATTGGAAAAACAAACTTGAGGGTGATAATCATACCAAGTAATAACACTCTGTTCCTTATAAATGAAATGAACATATTTTATGCAAAACATACCTCATAATGTTGCTAAAATTTATGCAATTAAAAAAACGTTTTTTTCCAGTGGTGTGGAGTGTGTGCATGTATGGCAATGCTCCCAGAGGCCTGAAGAAGATGTTGGGTCTCCAGGAACTAGAATTATAGGTAGTTGTAAACCTCTTGACATAGATACAGGGATACAAACTCGGGTATTAGGTAAGAGCAATACATGTTTTTAACACCAAGCCATCTCTCCATCTCATAAAATGTATGTGATTTTTATCCCTGAGGAACATTTGAAACTTGTAGCAAAGAACTGACAAAAGAAAAAAATCTATTTTTTTTAGTGTTCACTGTTCAATTTTGTTTATAAGTATGCCCTATATGTGATTGTCACATTTTATGCAGAACATTTCACTATAAAAACTTCATAAATATTATAAATATTTATAATTATAAATATTTATAAATACTATAAATATTATAGTGCAGCAACATCAACTATCATCTTCCTAAGAAATCCCAGAACTTAAAATACAGAATCTTTTGCCAAACTACCAGGATTCAGAGCTCTCAGACTACAAATTTTAATGTCCCCAGTTTTGCTGGTAAACTTCCAGGGATACTGCATAACCTCTCAAAACAGGGTCTTCTGTTATATTATGTCCAGTGCAGAGGAACAAACACCACCCCTCCTACTTCCTCTGTATGCATCTCCACAATACTTAGTCTGCAAAAGGTGATACCTTTTGGGTACATGCCCAGGAGTGGTGGAGCTGGATCTTGAGGTAGTGCTAATCCCAATATTCTGAGAAAGCGCCAGATTGATTTCCAAAGTGGTTGTACAAGTTTGCACTCCCAGCAACAATGGAGTAAGGTTCCTCTTTCTCTACATCTTCTCCAGCATGTGTTGTCACTTGAGTTTTTGATCTTAGCTATTCTGAAAGGTGTAAGATGACATTTGCTCAACTATGTTCATAGTAGCTTTATTTGTAATAGCCAGAATCTGGAAACAACCCAGATTTCCCTTAACTGAGGAATGGATACAGAAATTGTGGTACATTTACACAATGGAATACTACTCAGCTACTAAAAACAAAGAAATCATGAATTTGCAGGCAAATAGATGGAATTAGAAAGATCATCTTGAGTGAGGTAACCCAGAAACAGAAAGACAGTCATGGTATACCTCACTTATAAGCAAGTATTAGCCATATAATAAAGGATAGCCAGTTACAGACCAGAAAAAGCTAAACACTAAGGAGGACCTTAGGGAAGATGCTTAAATCTCATTCAGAATAGCAAACAGAATAGACACCAGAAGCAGTGGAAGACAGGAAACAGAATGCGAGCCTACTATAGAGGGTCTTCTGAAAGGTTCTCCCCAACAAGGATTAAACAGATGCTGAAATTCACAGCCAAACTGGACAGAGTGCAGGGAGTCTTACAGAAGAAGAGGAGGGTAGGGATAGAGGGACATGGAGAGGACAGAAGCCCCACAAGACCAACAAAGCTAAAGGATCTGAGCCCAGAGGGCCCTGCAGAGACTGATTCACCAATGGAGAACCATGCATGGAGAGGACCTAGAACCCCTGCTCAGATGTAGCCGATTGGCAGCTCAGCCTCCATGTAGATCTCCAAGCAAGGAGAACAGAGGCAGCCTCTGTCATGAACTCAGTTGCCTGCTCTGTGATCATTCACCCCTGGTGATGCGGCCTTGCCAGGCCACTGAGAAAGAGGCTCCGGGCAGTCCTGATGCGCCTTGACAAACTATGGGCAGATGGCAATAGTAGAAACTCCCCCTTTCAGTGGACTAGGAGAAGGGGATGGGGGGAAGAGGGAGAGAGGGTGGGACTGGGGAGAGTTGAGGGAGGGGACTTCAATTGGGATATATAATGAATAAATTATTTTAAAAAAAAACAAAAAAAAGAAAGTTCACTATTTAAAAAAGTGAACATTTTCACATATGTCTGGGCAAGTAAAACTGGAGTCCTCACCTATTGAATAAGGAATTCATGACTTTGATAAGCATAACTAAGTAACAGCATAACCACTTAAGAGCTTTAAGTTATATATTTGTTTCCATCTGATGTGTTTTGGGGTTTTTGTAGGTAGCTTTTAGAAAATAGTTCTATCTTCTTATTAAAAGGAATAAAGTTGATATTCCTCAAGGGATTTCTTTCTTGGACACTTCACTCTCAGATATGCTGTAGTAGAACAGTTGTTGCACCAAAAAA